ACCCACACTCCACACCCACAGCCACCATATGATGCCTTATATTACTTTCCAGGAAAGTCGATAGACTTTCCGCACCAAATGAGTTTCCCGAAAAACAAATTGTCTTTCCGCACTAGAAACATTTCCGGAAACCCAAAATGAATTTCCGAAAAATACACTTTCCGTTTCCCAAAATAGAAAACTCGACCCAAGAAAAATCGACTTCCGAAAACACAAAGATCATACCACGGAAACGCAGAATGAGGTTTCCAAAAACATTGTCGACTGTAGATGTGAGTGCCGGTGCGGATGCGCCAAGGTGTGGGTGACTCAATACGACTCTCACGCGTCTGTCAAGCTGCGCATCCCACAGAACGACTCACGTGCCTTCCCCAGCTGTGAGTGCTACGAAAGAACGGATTGCGGAAGCACAATTCATGAAACGATAGGCCGCGAAACGACTCGTCGAGAAAGGACTGAAAACAATACGACACACGTCATATCGCAGTTGCTGCGGGTGCCGCCAAAGAACTGGCCGCAAAAGAACTGAGAACAATAGGACACTTATCACATCGCACTTGCTGTGGGTGTCGCGAAAGGAGTGGCCAGGAAATGATTGGTCGTGAAAGTATTGAGAACAATAGAAGACACGTTACCTCGGGGGCTCAGTGGGTTTCGTGATTGGAGTACTCGGTAAGCGGTCTACAAGGTTGCAGCTGATCTGTATATGGGGAGAATGATGAGACGGTTTACAACAGTTGGAAAGGGCACCTGAGCATGTGTGCATGCTATGGGTGCTGTGTAAAGTTCACGAGAGCGTCCTGGTAGTTGAGTGTCGGGTTGTCTTGTCAGACATTGGTCAGAGATGTTTTCACATACGTATCATATTTGGAGTTGTGTTGTGAAAGTAGTTGTAGCGCGTGAGGATGGTTTAGTTGAACTGTTGCGGTGTTGGCCATACCTAAGTGGCTTTGAAAAGAGAAACCCGATTCAGAAAATCTAGAAAGATTAGAGCTGATGTAGCTCTCATGGAATTACATGATAAACGTGGCAAGGGATTATGGGGCGCTTTGTTTTTGTTTTGTTTCAATTCGTTAGGTGCAGAGTTATTTTGGAGGTGAATTGTTGCATTTTCTGGGATAAGTGGTTTTCTGGAAAATATATGGAAGAATTTTTCTTTAATGGATTTGTAGTCTTACCTATATTTAATATTGAGAGATTATTTTTGGAATCATAGATAGATGTGTCTGCTTTATAGTAGCCCTAGCATCAAATAATACGTACTATGCACCTCCTGTATCCTCTGATACCTCGTATTCCTGCTATATTATGCTTTGTGAGAGTTTTCCCGAAAACTCAATTAAATATCGACGGAGAAGGTATGGGAGATTTAGGAATATAGGGCATACAGGGATATAGAAGATATGGAATAACCAGTGCAGATTATCCGTAAATAGCGTTTGACTTTTAATAGTGTTCTATTCTGATATACTCATGCAACTTATCGATGGTTGCTCGAAGAAACAATCAAAATAAATAAATAACTGTTTACTATATCTCCTATATCTCTGGGGTTCCAGAATTTCGCCAATAAGACTTTCGCCAATAGGACTTTCGCCATTGGAGAAAGTCCATTGTACTTTCGCCAATACACCTCATGGAATTTCGCCAATACATTCCCTAGAACTTCGTTAATGGGCGAAAGTCCACTGCACTTTCGTCAATATATCCCCAGGACTTTCGCCATTGATGAATGTCTTATTGACGAAAGTCTTATTGGGGAACATCCCACCACCCATATCTCTATATCTCCTTCATATCCTACATCTTCTTTATCTACTGTATCTTCTGCGTCGGTATTGAATTAAGTTTTTGAGGAAACTCTCCGAAGACATGTAATCACGTCTACGTGGATGTGGATGCTGTGAAAAGTGGAGGTCTACTCGAGGAATTGTAGAAGTATTGTTTGAAAGTTCAAATGTTATCGTGGAAAGTGGACTCTGACTGCACGGAAAATGGGTTACACCACTTTAGTGGTTATTAGTTCGCTGTGGAGTTTTGTTTATAGTTTTGGAGGAGCTGTTCGAGACGTGTGGTAGGTTCTTTTCGAGGATTTAAAAGGAGTTTCCTGGAAATCCAATTTATGTCCATTATGTCATTATGCCCTGTTCCAAATAAAGTCCACAAAAAAAAGAGTTTCCTGAAAACTAATAGAATGCATCAAATTGCATATTGAGTCAACAGAAAATTAAGTATGCAATTCTGATCTAAAAGAGGACTGATATTATTTGTGATTTTTTCGTTTGGATGATTATAATATCTTTAGAAAGAAGAAAACAATCAAAGCACACATAACAGTGTTGTTTTTTCGTTCTTATCAGGGAGAAAAATGGTTCTTTTTAAGTCGCCGAAGAGCAGCAATAAAATGCACTACGACACTGCATAACCTTACCATTTTTTTCTTTACAACATAATTTTCTTTTACGACTGCTGAAATTCAATACTAAACGTCGGCAAACAAAAGCACATTTGATGTTGTAAAAAAGTCAAGAAAAACGACTCTTATCGGATCAACAGAAAAATAATATTTCAGACTGAATTTCAAACGACTTCTCTCCATTGTTGGTTAATTACAAAGTGGCAAATAAATTCAAAATGGATGGGCAAAAGCAGAATGAAATGCTTTCTACATCTATAACGGATGTCGTAACAACTGCAACGACATTATCGTGTATTATGGAACCAACACAATGTATGACTGAAGGCTATGTAATTATCTGGATCGACGAGAACATTCACCCAAACAATGAAAAATGTAAAAATACACTAACACAGCTACAACAGGTGACCGATCAAGTCTATATTTTCACCACATCCGATCAAGGTATAGATTTTCTCACTGATATCAATGATCAAAAGGCATTTCTCATTCTGTCAAATCCTAAAGATCAAGACATGATACCTATCGTAAATGATATTCATCATCTTCTGAGTGTTTATATCTTCTGCAGCACAGAATCCCTAATCCATCATTGGAAAAAGAATTCCAGCAAAATTAAAGGTATGCACACAAATATCAACCGTCTCTGTGAAGCACTACTAGATGGCATCAAACGATGTTACAAAAACGATATCGCTATGAGCTTTGTCAGTATCGGCGAAGATAGTTTGCAAATTAATCTAGATCAAATAGAACCCTCATTTATGTACACACAATTGTTTAAAGAAATTGTTCTTGAGATCGGTCACAGCAAAGAAGACATCACAGATTTTATTAAATTTTGGCGGGAAAAATCTAACAACAATAAGACAACGTTGGATACTATCAACGAGTTCGAGAAGAATTACAGTCCTGAGGCGTCAATTTCCTGGTATATTCGTGACTCTTTCATATACCAGGCGGTTAATCGGTCACTTCGAACATTGGATACTCTAACAATGAAGAAAATGAGTTTTTTTATTCGAGATCTTCACTGCCAACTCGAACAATTACACGAAGAACAGTCTACAAAAACAGACAATAAACCTTTTACCGTATACCGAGGACAAGGATTATCCAAAGCTGATTTTCAGAAACTTAAAAGAACCAAGGATGGTCTCCTCTCATTTAACAACTTTTTATCTACCAGCCGAGATCAAGACGTTTCCCTAGCATTCGCCGAAAGTAACACATCAGACGCTAACTTAGTCGGTATACTTTTCATAATGAGTATCACACCTTCAATTTCAAGAACTCCCTTCGCCAACATCCAAACAATGGGTTCGTTTCAAGACGAAGAAGAAATCCTCTTTTCTATGCACACGATTTTTCGTGTCAAAGAAATCAAACAGATCCTCAACAATTCCAACCTATACGAAGTACAACTCATTCTCACCAACGACGATGATCCACAACTATCTCTTCTCACACACTCTATACGGCAGGAACACAGCGGAAATGGCTGGAATCGCATGGTTCACTTGATGCTCACGCTTCACCACTACCAAACATCCCAGGAAATTTGTGATCACCTACTAGCCATATCTTCCACGAACATAGAGCGAGCGAATGCCCTGAATAGCCAAGGAACAATCGAAGGGCAACGAGGCGACTACCAAAAAGCACTTTCATCGTACGAAAGATCGCTTGAAATCTTCAAAATAGCTCTCCCTCCGAATCATCCTGATTTGGCTACTTCCTACAACAACATCGCTTCAATGTATGATAACATGGGCGAGTACTCGAAAGCACTTTCATCGTACCAAAGATCACTTGAAATCCGAAAAATAGCTCTCCCTCCGAATCATCCCTTACTGGCTAATTCCTACAACACCATCGCTTCAGTGTATGATAACATGGGCGAGTACTCGAAAGCACTTTCATCGTACGAAAGATCACTTGAAATCCGAAAAATAGCTCTCCCTCCAAATCATCCCGATTTGGCTACTTCCTACAATAACATCGCTATAGTGTATACTCACATGGGCGAGTACTCGAAAGCACTTTCATCGTACGAAAGATCACTTGAAATCCAAAAAATAGCTCTTCCTCCGAATCATCCTGATTTGGCTACTTCCTACAACAACATCGCTATAGTGTATACTCACATGGGCGAGTACTCGAAAGCACTTTCATCGTTAGAAAGATCACTTGAAATCCGAAAAATAGCTCTCCCACCGAATCATCCCGACTCTGCTCAATCCTACAACAACATCGCTTCAGTGTATTTCCACATGGGCGACTACTGGAAAGCACTTTCATCGTACGAAAGATCACTTGAAATCCGAAAAATAGCTCTCCCTCCGAATCATCGCTTATTGGCTACTTCCTACAACAACATCGCTTCAATGTATGATAACATAGGCGAGTACTCGAAAGCACTTTCATCGTACGAAAGATCACTTGAAATC